AGTTTGAGGTTGCTGTGAGCTAGGCTGACGCCACGGCACTCTAGTTCGGGCAACACAGTGAGATTTTGTCTCAAAAAAAAAAAAAAAAAGATATCAGAAAATCTAATCCAACAGTGTATGAAGAAGATAACATTCTACAATCATGTTGAATTTATCTGGGTACACAAGAATTATTTTATATTAGAAAATCCATAAAGTAACTCACCATAATAACAGATTTCAGTAAAAATAGATTTCAGAAAGATGTCTATGGCCACACCACCCTGAACTCACCCAATCTCAGAAGCTAAGCAGGGATGGGCCTGGTTAGTACTTAGATGAGAGAAAAAGTATTTCAGGTGCCTAAGATATAAGGTTAATATACAAGTCAGTTGCATTCCTATACACTAACAGCAAACAACTAGAAAAATGCAATTTAAGAGAAGACAACAGTTATCATCAGAGAACATCAAGAACCTTGTAATATTAATCAATCTTATAATATATTCAAGACCTCTATAGAGAAAATAATAAAGCTTTACTAAAAGATGTCAAAGAGCTAAGTAAATGGAGAAAGGTACATGTTCATGGATAGAAAGACAGTATTGTAAAGCTGTCATGATCAAAAAAGTCTAAAAGATGTATGTATCTCTGATATACAACAAATGTGGCATGTCAGATCATGTGAAAAGATGGAACTGTTGACTAAATGGTTATCTGGGAAATAATGGAAAAAGATGAACTGAATCTCACCCTTACATTGTAACAAAAATCAACTTCAGATAAAGGTCTTACAGTAAGTATTAAGTCTGACTTTTTGTTAAACAATAAGTTAATAATTCTAAGTAAAACATATAGATGAGTGTCTTTAAGACCTTAAGATTTTAAGACACGAGAAATCACTGAGGCATTTGAGTATATTAAAATACTTTTGTTCATTAAGAGAATTTTTCACTCTGGGAGGCCGAGGCAGGCGGATTGTGAGTGAGACTCTGTCTCAAAAAAAAAACAAAAGACAAAAAAAACTTTTTGCTCATTAAAAGAAATTTAAAGAAAGTAAAAAGACAATGTATAAACTTAGAGAAGGTAATCATAATACCTACACCTAAAAAAGGATTATTTTATCACAATTAAAACTAATAATTAAAAAAGAATACATAAAGACCTTCTGAACAACAAATAGAGACAAAAATAATCCAGTGGGAAAATGTGCAAGAGTCATGAACGAGAATTTCACACAAGAAACATATATGGCCAGGCATATGAAAACCATAATCAACATTATTGCTAATCAGGGAAATGCAAATCAAAACCACAATGAGATGCCATTTTATATTCATTCCATTAGCAAAAATGAAAAGATCTGATAATATCAACTGTTGAAGAAGATGTAGATCCACGGTATCTCTTTTACATTGCTGCTGGAAGTATAAATTGGCACAAACACTTTGGAAAACAGTTTGGCCTTACCTCCTAAAGATAAACCATCACATACCCTATAACCCAGTAATTCTACTTCTAGGAAATATTCAAGAGAAATTCTTGCAAATGTACAATAGGAAACATGCATGAGACTATTCCAATAGTAAAAACTTGGAACAACCCAAACTTATTGAATGAATAACTGTGGTATATTCACATGACAGAATGTTATACAGACTAGTTAAAACAAATGAACCCCCACAACATGAAACAATATAGATAAACCTTAGCAATATAATACTAAGTAAAAAAAAAAAAAAAAAAGTCCCAGAAAGTTACATATATCATTATATTCTTTCTATACAATTAAAAACATGTAAAATATATGTATATAAATGTGTACAGAGAGAGAAAGAAAGAAACACTGACTTAAGAATACTTAAAAATGCAATAAAATTTTATTAAGAGGAAAGCAAGGGACTCAGAACCCAGGAGACTTGCTGACGGCTGTCTAAGCAGGGGATGGATTGGTGGGTTTTCCATATAGTTAGACATAAGTTTTTGTCAAGATTCTACCTTTTTGTTTAGGGCAGCAGTACTGTATTAATAAAATCAGGCCACGCAATAAAAAGAGGGTGTTGTGTACCAAGGATTATAACTAATCCAAATCTGTGAGGTCCAAAAAGGGCAGAACAAAAAGAAAAAATAGGACAGTAGACTTAAATTTAACATATCTGTATAAGTAATTACATTAAGTAATTTCAGACAAGTTTTTAAAAATCCAACTATATGTGGTTTGCAAGAGATATATCTAAATAAGAAAACAAAAATGGGAATGAAAGAAGATAAGTCCATAGAAATACCACACAAAAGCTTCTATAGTTACATTCATATCACAAAACAGACTTTAAAAAGTAATTAATATTAATACTAGAGGTAAGGGACAGTTCATAATGATAGTTTAGTTCACCAGGAAGATGAGTTTTAAATTTGAATGTACCTTGTACCTAATAACATAGCTTTAAAATATATACAGCAAAATGTTGATACAATTATTAGGAGAAAGGAACTAATTTACAACCAAAGTCAGAAAGTTTGAACAACAGAACTAGTTATAGAACACTGCACTCAGTAACTGTAGCAAACACATTCTCTTCAATCGCATGGAACATGAGCAAAACCTGACCACATACCAGGACATAAAATAAATTTGAAAGGACTGAAATTATGCCAAGTATCAATATGTTGTCTGACTCCAAGACAATTATGCTAGAAAAACAATGAGTAGAAAAACTGCCATGTGTTTATGAATTTAAGAAATATGCTCTCAACTAATCCATAAGTCAAAAAAGATAAAATGAAAATAAAAATGTTTATAACTTAATAATGAAGATAACACATATCAAAAGCGGTGAGATTCAGCTGAAGCAGTACTTAGAGTGAAATGTGTAGCTTCAAAATGCACATACTAGAAAAGCTGAAAGATAATAAGCTAAGCAATTCCCAGGGAAGTCTAATGTGGCAAAACAGCTGCAGGTTGGTGGAGTGAGGTGCAGGGGATAAAAAGCGAGTTGCCTGCAGCGGCTGGGTTTGGCTGGGTCAGTTCATCTAGGGAGGACCCGGGGTGCTGGGGAAGGTCCACCAGGGCCAGAGGGAGCCCTGGGCAGGGAGAGCTGGAGGGCGAGGACGTGCAGGGCCAGGCAGGAGAGAGGTGGCCCGGGGATAGGGCGCAGGTCCCGCTCACCCTGCTGCCCCCACTGCCGCAGGGAGAATGCGGAGAACATGTACTACTTCTCCGAGCTGGCCCTGACCCTCAACGAGCTTGAGGAGGGTGTGGCGCCCACTGACAGCCGCCTGCGGCCCGACCAGCGGTTGATGGAAAAGGGCCGCTGGGACGAGGCCAACGCCGAGAAGCAGCGGCTGGAGGAGAAGCAGCGCTCGTCGCTGCGCCAGCGGCTGGAGACCTGCGCACCCAGCAGCCGCTGCAGCACAGAAGAAGGTGAGGCCGGCGCAGAGGGTGCCCGGGGCTGGGAGGGGTGTTTCCGCCGGGACAGGGGCGGGGTCCCAGGGAGAGGGACCGCCACCCACCCACCGCCCGCTGTGCCCGCCCAGCAGAGAAGGAAGCAGACACGTACTTGCCACTGTGGTTCGAGAAGAGGCGGGACCCGCTGACGGGGGAGATGGCCTGCATATACAAGGGCGGCTACTGGGAGGCCAAGGAGAGGCAAGACTGGCACATGTGCCCCAACATCTTCTGAGCGCCGCCCCTGCAGCAAATATAGGCGCCTGCACAGCCGGGTCCACTTTTTCTTTAACGCACTCAACTTAGTACTGAATGGCCCTTCTCCGACCACCCCTCTCTTTCCTTTTTTTTTTTTTTTTTTTTTTTTTTTTTTTTTTTAAACACTTTTTCTGGGCTCCCGCCTTGGAAGGAGGAAGGGCTGACCCGGTTTCTCTCCAGCCCCCAGGTGCACCAGGTCACCCATGACCCTTCGTTATGGATTTGGGCCCCATCAGAACCCCAGCTCCCAATCACCAAAACTCAGGCCTGCTGGCCCGAGCCATGGGCTGCCCAAGCCACCAGCCGCCAACCCAGGGAGGAACTAGCCCCTCCTAGGGGGCCTCTTTTGACTTTTTTTAGAAAAATGATCTTCATTTCTTTCCAGCCTTGATGTTTAGTAAATATTTTTAGAACACCACTTAGCCGACAGCTTTCCAAGTGTGCTTTCTTGCCACAAAAGTGTCCTGGCAAGAAGCCCTTCTTTTTAAGACATCAGGAAGCCAGACCCATTTGAGTTGGGAGCATTTTGTAGCTCAATATAGCCAGGCCCTGACTGTATCTGAGCTGCCCACCCCCAGGAGCCCAGGGCCCCACAAAGACCAGAACAGAAGGTGGGCTGCCCTGGCCCAGCAGAGCACAAGGAGTTTCTGGATCTACAGCCCACTGATGGGGAGGGGGCACTGAGGGCACCCCCCTGTGGATTTGAGGGCAGCATCCCCCAGCCTAGCTTGGGCCATGCTTGGGCAGATCCCTGGCCCCCGAGAGGCCAGGAAGGTCTGGAAGGCAGGGCCTGCAGGTGCTCCCCACCCCAAGACCCAGGCCCCAAATCAGCAATAATGAACAATCCCTCAGCTCAGCCTGGGCTGGAGACCCGGGCACCAGCAACCCAGCATCCTGCCTTGTCCTCAGGCAGCTCCTGGGCTGCCCCATCTCAGTGCCCCCTGAATTCTTTATTTGCCTAATTTATATATGATATATAAATATATATATATATATATATTTTGCTTAAATTTCTATGGTATGTGAAAATGAAAAAAATGATGAAGACAGGGTATGCCTGTCTGAGTTTGGCCTTCCTGGTCAGCTGTGCCCTGTCCTCTCCTCGTAACCACTTCTAGCGGCTTCTGCCAACCCAAGGGGACTGGACCACCATGGCCACTGTCACAGCCCCTCCGAACCTCCCACTCCAACCTTTCCTACTTCAGTTAAGTCCTGAAAGTTCACTGCAGGGTTTTTCTTTCTACTCCACAACTGGTTTTGTTTTTATTAAAAAACACAAAAGTGAAAACACCGTGTGAAATGCCTTACGATGCCCACTCGAGAGGTGGGGTGCGGTGGGGCGGGGCAGGGTGGCCCCACCCGGCCTCCCTGCAGAGCTGTGGGATGTACCTCCCCCAATACTGTTTGTGAGCGAGCACTTTTTTGACTGGTAATAAAAAACCTTGGCTTTGGAGTTTTCCACTTTTCTGTCCCTGAGTCTGTCTGTGGCTGGGTGGAAGCAGCTGACAACACAAGTGACAGCCCAAGGTGGTGTGGGAAGAGGAACATGCAAAGGTAGGTCTGTCCAGGGGTCTGGGCCAGGAAGGCTACCCATAGGGCTGAGTCAGCACCACCTGGCACAAACTCAGGGGAGGGGTAGCACCCCTGCCAGGGGCTGTCTTGATGCCACTGCCACAGGGCTGGCCTGGACCCAGATCCACCCCCTCCCCTAGAAGGGCAGTGTTTTAGCCACGTGCAGGCCACCAGCAGCCCCTCCTATCTTTCAGATCCTGGAACCATCTAGGGTGAGACCTCTGAGAGGGAAGGCCCACCCTGTGAGTTCTGTTGTTGCTTGACAACCATGGCCTGGGCTGCTTCTGTTGCCTCAGTTGCCAGGCAACTCGGATCACTAGCTCCTTATACCCAGCCAGAGTGGCTTATGGTCTGGCCTGCGCTGTTCCCACTGCCAGTGCTTCCAGGTGAGGGGCTGGGGTAGGACAGGGTACCACAAGGGCCTCAAAGCCAGGGCTCTGACCATCGATGCCCCAGCACTGTGGGATCCAGAGCTGGCCCTGCAGAGCTCCCTCCTCACCCTTGCTTCCCCATCTGTGGGGAGGTGGCCACTGGGGAGTCTGGCAGAGGATGTGGAGGGGCAGGTCTCACTGGAATAGAAGGGGGAGGGTGGAGGCAACCCAGGATGGACCTGACCCAGAGGGCAGTGGAGGGGGCCCGCCAGGTGAGGGGACAAAGGCCAGTCTACTGAGGCAAAGCAAGGGACCCAAAGAGCCTGGAGTGAATCAGGTAGAGCTCTCAACAGGGAGTGACATCAGGGCAAGGTTCTAGAAAGACCACTCTGACCAGCGGGACACAAGATGGACCTACATTCGTGGTCTCCTATATACCAGGCATTGCTGAGTAGAAAACGTAATTAATAGAAAAAAGGATTCTGCAACATAGGCCATAAGGGATCACAGAATACATCTGATTAAAAAAGACCTTTCTGGATGTGACAGAGGAGACGTGAGTGAAGAGGGAAAATACCATCTTCACGGATGGGCAAACATCAGTTTTGTCAGTCCCAAATCTATATAAATTCAACATGACCCCTATCAAAATCCCACAATATAGTTTAAAAAAACTTGACAAGTTGATTATGAAATTTATATGGGCAAGTTAATTATACCCAAAAAAAAAGGCTTGAAGAATTCTAAAAAAGAAGAACTTTCCAGGGGGGTGAGAGGGGCTTGACCTGTGGATGCCCACACAAGCTAGAAAGACACTGACAAACAGCTTCCTTTTTCTCCGCTGCATTAATATTTTGTGGCATGCCATGTATTGTACTTACTTGTTTAATGTCTGTCTTCCCTACCCACATTGGACTGTGAGCTTCAGGAGAGTAGGAATCTTGTATGAGTCATACATTGTAGCATCCCCAGTGTCTAGCACATAATAGGGGCTCAATAAATAGTTGCTGAATGAATTAATTCAAGGCCAGGAAGACCAGCTAAAGCACAGGCTCAGGGGTCAATACAAGGGTAGCCAGGGAGCATGGCTGCACTACCAAGTTGTGAGGGAAGCCTCAGAGACAGGACTAAGGAAGAGCTGAACCCAGGGACCCAGGATGATCCTGCTTCCCCCAAACTCTAGAGCCCAAAGACTGTGCCTGACAGACTATGGGGTAGAAGTCTGAAAGAATCTGGAAGGAGAAAGAGGAGGCCTGAGGTTCCCTCGTCTCCAGGGCTGAGGCTCAATGTGAGGGGAGTAGGGAGAAGACACCAGAGAGACAAATTTCAAAGTGTAACCACAGAGAACAACAGAGCCAGAGATGATCTCAATGCTATTTAACTTACTCTTTTTTATGAAGCTAACCAACATGCATAACTTCAACAAAAAAACCTGATAGAGACAGTACTAAAATATAAGAAATATATAGTCTGATCTCACGTAAAAAAAGAATTCTCATAAATCCACATAAAGCAATAGCAAGTAGAATCCAACCACATACAAAAGACTGATATCCCAAGTTGGTAAACCCAAACCCAAATTACGTTTACTGTAGAAATACAAGAATGGCTCCATGTTGGGAAGCTTTTTATCGTAAATCATGCATAATATTAGCTGGTTCAAGGACAAGTTTTCTTTCTGGCAATATGGTGGACTAGGTTCCTGGAAAATATTACTTTGTGCGAAACTAGACATGCTGGATAAAAAAAATTTTAAATCTTAAATGCCCCCATTAGCCGGAAAGAATGTAAGGAATACTCAGGCCAAATATTAACAGGGTATGGAAA